AGTATTCAAACTGGTTGTTGCACACATGAACTTTGCGCAAAATAGCATGTGGTAGTAACTATCCTGCTTAGAGTTCAAATCAGTGGCGAGGCAGGCCAATTATGAAACAGATGCAGGTCTGGTCGTTGGCTCGTTCACTGAGCTGGGCAATTTGACGGTAAACTTTTCATCACCAATCGAGGTGACATCATCAGCGCGTTATTGGGGAGCGTAGTGGTGCGTAGCGGTTAGTGGTCGCAGTGCAAGTCTTCCATTGCTTTAAGTCTCAATGCAACACCAACGTTCTTCCCATAACACGATACAACATTTGATCTGCACAATCAGTTGTATGACAAAATTCCACAGATGTTTCGCTTCGATCAGCCAGCGTAGATCCGGAAAACAGAACGTGTTAAGTTCAAGTGCTCTCTGCTCTACTTGCATCACCGTCAGTAACTACTGAAGAGGTGAATTGTTGTCACTTTACAGGCTGTCTGGGCGTTCTTCTATGTCCTGATGATTTCACAGATCACTTCCCTCATTTGCTTTCGGCGACCTAAATCCCAGTGGTTCGAACGTACTCATTAGCTAATCGGGATGAACCGAATTCCAGGCTTGTACACCTACGCGTATTCCTTCCTGCACAGTTGTACGGCGTAACAAAACACCAAGAACCGTGTTTCCCATGTGTTTGAGTCGCTAAGTATTTGTCGACGCACGCAACTGACGGCACAGATTAAGCCCTGGTGGATCGGACGAATAAAGACATAGGGTTTCTGGGTAATTTTTCCCGCCTAACATTGAAGTTCTCACCTGAACCCAAAGCAAAGGACTATTGTCGACGAATAGAAATTTCCTGTTTGTCTAGATAACCATCCAAAGACTCAGAATTTGTCACTCGGTCAGCTTTTTACTCTTTGCCTGTTACTAGCGCCATTGAAATACATAAAAAATTGTCCTTGTTTATCACGACGGATATCAATTCCACCCTCCATACCTCCATAGAGTGAATGAGTTACTTATCTTTAGGCATGCAGTTCTTGTGGCTGCCTCATTGTCTTTTCTAAAAATCCTACGAAGTAGACTTCAGTAGTACGGCGCGGTACCACACATGCCTAACACATCCTTCATCTTAGGGTAAGCCAATAGCATCGAGACAGTTTTGCGAAATTTATCTACATTTGTTTTTGAGATGCCTTTTAACTCCCCAAATTTGTGAACAAAAATCCCAATGTCAACATCCGTAGCATAAACATCATGCGCGTTGAGACCATAACCTTTCTTCCGAAGTCAAAAGCATCATTTGGATGCTCGAGGTGTTGTAATGCCTATCATTGTATAGCTTTCTTACTCATAATCCCCTCAATTGATATGGATCTCTTAGTGAACCTATTTCGTTCTTTGAAAACTGTCACGGCTGTCCGCTGGAATTCCGAGTGACTCGTCTGCAGAATTCCGAGTCACTTTCAACATGCACCTGAGCCAGTCCATTAAAGGCTACAAAATCCTGAGTTCTTTAGAGATACATGTTCAAAGAAGGCACCACGATGAACAGAGATGGCACGCGACGGCTTTCCCAGAAATTCTGACGTCTTCGTTGTATGGGGCACCCCTATCTTCTGGGTGTAAATCAAGAGGCTGTAAGTGCTGATAGGTACGCCTAACTGAACTGACTTTCATTGTCTTCATTTGGAATTACCCCTCCTAAGACCAGCTGGGTCGCTCCACCTAGTTTATTGACATAGGTGAAGTCAATTTTCTGCTGTCTTAATTTTGCATGACCTTTGCTCATGCGGTTTGCTTCTGCTGACCTCTTTTTGCCATCTCTAAGACTTCAGTGATCTCGATATCCCTTGCGTTTACGCACACCCCAGCTACATACAAAGCAAATCGGTGGAGCTAGCTTAGTGTCGGTTGTATTACCACCACAGCAGAGAATCACGGTTTAGCTGTTAGACTAGCTACTTGCAGCCGGGCTAGCGACGGCAGAGTACAACAAAACCTCATCAACTAAGCAGTCATTCCACTGCCCATCAACCTGGACTCTATTTCCACTGCTCTCGCTCTGAATGGAAGCGGAAAATGAGAGTAGTTTTTTTACTCCTAAATTACAAGACACTGACCACAACTACTGTGTTGCCAAGTCAACGAGCTGTCCCACAGTTAGTGGAAATTTCCTTTCTCACACAGAGCAAATAGGATCAAACATGCGAGTTGCAACTTTCGAGACCCTCGTGCTCCGTGGATTGTTTGAAAATCATTTATACATGAATCGGTTAGTTTTATTTATTAAGTTGTGCTAATTGCTATCATTTATTTTTGAAGAGCGTGGTCACAAACATAAAAAGTGAATGTAAACGATGAATGCGAAAGTGTAACAGGAGAATATGGGAAAAAAGAAAGGAACGTCTCATTCGAAATCACGCCAACAACAGTTCCATTCAGATGAGATGAATTCCAAAGTATGTAAAAATTTTGATATGGAAACACGCGTCTAAAGACCAACAACCGAAGAAAGGACAGGCAATGTGGAATGCTCTTCAAGGCGCGGTAGGCGCTAGCACAGTCAAGACTCGCACATCAGGCGCAAAGTGTCTGTCATACTGCGTTTGGTGTGAGATTAAATGGCAAAAATGTACATTCAGCGCCATGTACCACTCATAAAAGTGTCATAAGTACGCAGAGAGTCCACAATGGCAATAAAACACAAGTCACTGACTGCGACCTTAGGAAGTCCCAGTGCAATGACAGCCTAGGCGGAGTGAGGAAAGCAGATCCATCGATAAGAGATGATCATTGTTGATTTTTACTACTTTTGTGGCTCCTGTTTTAGTAAATTCTAGTCTGTCGAAACCGTGTCACAAAAGATGACTGGACTTTTCCCAGGCCAGTCCACTAGTTCTGTTTTTTGGGCATATAGTGCTCACATCTGAGCTCCAAATTGTGTTCAGCATTACGGCGACCTGCTTAAGTTTGAACTCGTGAGGTTATTCGAATAGTCTCTAACGCGCTCACACTAATCCATTGACCTCTAACAGGTGTGTTCACCTGGGTATGCACGTGCGATTTACCACCCCGTCGAGTCACCTGCTTGCTCATACTCTACTGATCGGTCATATACCTGTACAATCCTCAGGAGGAGTGGGACTCATGCGTACGAAGGGAATCATGTGTGCATTTGCACCGACTACCTAAATGAGGACATTCGGTTCCCCATTGGCTCGATCTCAGCTGACAAGAAGTTTGGCCGTGTCACGAACGTGGCACAAACAATGCTTTACTAACTATTCGGGTGGAAATCGGGAGAAAGTTAGCTGTCTTTATACGAGCAAACGCTGAGCACAGGCTTCCTATGCTATTGCGAGTAATGTCCGCCAATAGTATGAGGTCCACTGGTATGAACTTCTGTAGTTCCTTCTAAAAAGCAGGACACGAAGTTCGTTGAACATGTCATGACAGCCAAGACAACCGGGGAATTCCGACTGGCAAAATATAGCTTTGGTGGAAGTTTGTTCTGCCTAACCCTCTTATCTTGACTCCACAACCGTCCAGTAACTCAAATGCAAATCAACCCCGTAGATTGGAATTGGTTTATGATGAGTGTTCACGCAGCGCGCTGTTACTTAAATCTTTCTAAAACGCTTGCGCCATTGTGTGTTACCGTGACTTTCACTTAGGTATTCTCGTCCTGTTAGACCAACTCTATGTCTTTAGTGATTATAAATTGTCACGACAGAGATGAATCTCGGTTGGCCTGGTATGTGGGGACTTACAGTATGCCTTCAATCGTGAATGATTTTCTCAAACATGCTCTCACGATTACTAACAATCCAAGTGTTTAAATATTCCACGGAAGTACCCAGCTACGGCAAGTACCGGTAACCGGTTTTGTCGTGGTTGAGTGATCCTGAGTTCGTACCTGTTGTAACACGGCAACAGAGCATTGAGATCATTACTATCCATGATGGCGAGTCAAAAAGTCACAAGAGAGTTTGGAAACATTTATCGGCAACTGAAGTGAACCGATGTGACTTGTGTATCTGGTGATGTATATGATTGTTCATTGACTGACAGTACGCTTAGGGCATTCTTATCTTATTTCGGCTGAGCTCAATCATCCTAGAAATTGCTAGTCTTTGACCAACATGCTCAGGGGAAACGCATTCCTCATGTCGGAAGTTTTGAGAGACACCAGTCCTGCTTTCGGCCGGCTGATTATGGCCGTCATCAATAACAGCACATCAGTGCACAACGGGAATGTTTGCATTTGAAAGTTTCAGTGTAAGGAAAATAATAAAATTGAATTAAGGAAAGACTCAGTAAAAGTCTGCCACACTCAATCACAGGTCCCTACATTCCCAGACATGCAACCAGGCACGGTGGGAATCACGCGGATCCCATCCTGGAAAGTGAGTCGCACCGACAGTACCCAGATATTATTTAATCGATTTCATTTCCCTTTACCTGATCAGAAAATGACCTTGGTCAGCTGAAGTTAGATTCCATTCTGCCATGCTTACAGGGTAAATTTCCATTTTCAATTAAGATCCCGCCCCACAAGTGAAGGCATTCTATACTGAAATACCGATAAGCATTGTTCAGGTGTTTCGGCATCAGTGGGAATCGTCAGCGTTGCGTATTTCAAGAAACCTCGGGGAGTCTAGAACCCGCGACCTCCCGGCTAGTAGTTTGTACACTTTTTTCTGAACACGAGCGGTGTTCTGCTGAGCTTTGTGAGTTAAGCGCAGCTGATGGTTCCCAATAAGGATGAAATAGCTGTACAGTGCTTCTCGGTTTTTCAGCATAGGCTGACTTCACTTGGAGGACGAAACCTCAATTGAAAATCGAGAGCAAGATTTCCATTTGCTAACTTCAATGGTCGTTACACGGTCCTCACAATGGTTCCATGTTCTATGTAATTTTTATTAGTTTTTGCTCACACTTTAAACGATCGACGATCAAGAAACTGAGATGAAAAAGAGCATGCCAGTTTCATTGTCTGGGTATAAACTTCCACTTACTGTAGTTGCTGACAATGTATAACGTTTTCTGACAATAAGGAGAAGATTTGCGTAACTTCGTATCGCGCACGCTGGTAGTTGGTAGGACTCATTCTCGCATGCAGCCCGTGGCTTCCGGCTTAACGTCCTAGTAGGCGTTCACTTGTTTGGAACATGATTTACTCATAAGTTATGGTGTGGTATTCATTAATTTGACAGTTGTCCCATTCGGAGATTCCAGGAACACATTTTTATTGGGCGATTACAAAGAGGCATAGAGTTCAGCATCACTCTGAAGCTTTAGCTTGTTGAATTCAAAGATGCAGTTGGTACAAGTGTTCTGATATGGGACAGTGGTGAGTTTTTGAGACCTCACATATCTCCTCGTAAAGCGGGTGCACAACCTATTTACTGGTACGTTTGCCTCCGCTGGGAGCTACTGTTTCAACAACCTCTAATCCTGCTGCTCAAAAGAAAAGACAGGTGTTTGGCCCGCCTAATCAAGGCGATCTAAAAGTATGCTTTTTTGGTACTTCGGTGGATTGTGTTTCGATCTTTCTACGGTGTGTTGATCAGTCGTGAAACCCGAAAAGCACTGACAGTTATTCACATTTAGAAAGATCAATAAAATTGGACTCAAATAGTTTTTCTGTGAGATTGAGTCCTATGTTGTTATTGGTACACTGATAGTCGCTAAAAAGCGAATGTGAGGCTAAACAGGCGGTTCGAATACTTTAGTAGACTTCGGAGCTACCAGTATGTTAGTACTCGTAGAAATGTACACGAAGCGCGTGACCCTACGGTGCACAAGGAAGGAAGTCTGGGTTAGTACATCATGATTAGAGTGGTTCAGGTCAACAACTAAGAACCGAAAATATGCCGAAGTGTTAGTGCATAGTAGGGACGACGTGATTTCGTGTGTAACATAATGATAATCAATACTGATGGACAATTTCATGAGTTACACTTTTTGTGCACTGGCATCGATCCTAACTGATCGTTAAAGAGGTCAAAAATAGATCAAAGAGTGAATAATCCGTTCGCCAATCCTGGAGTACAATCGACGATGCACCAGACTTATTCACTTTTTTAAATATTTTGTTTTCAAGGCCAGGAATCTTCTTTGTACCTGGTTGGTTGGATGAAATGATTAAACGGTCCTTATCGTCTGTCAAACAAGAGGGTGGTTTTGTTGCCTTACTTAACTTTCCAGAACCTGCTTCCGATATGTTGAGGATTCCTGGTATTTTTTCAGGGCTTGGGTTTAATAGACCCCACGCAATTGAAAAGTCCACCAGTTGTATAATTCTCAATCAAATTAGTGGCACTAAACGACCGCTAAAATTTTTATGTTCTGAACCAGATCGATAAATACTTTTCAAAATACAAACTAAGCTTGAGTCTTAACATGAGCGTATTCACTCTTGTGGTCGAACTTTCTCATGCATAAACATGAAAGCAAAAGTTTGGTTGCATCTAAACTATTTGGAACACTATTGCAACACTACGCAGATCTCCAAAAGTAGTATTTTTTGTATGTTTGTGTGTTTGTTCCATGAGGCGCGACATACGACATAAGAATACAGTCCACTGATCGGGGTGTACTTCATCTGAATTTTTTGAAGAATTTAACCTGAATTTGAGTAAGCAACATTTGATAAAAGATAAGTAGTTAAGACAACACATTACTCTATTTTTGGAGAGATCTTCGCTTGAAGCCGATTATAGTCTTCATGACCATTGGTAAAGAAATCAACGCTGACATATTGTCTTTTCCCATATTTTAATATTCCGTAGATTGATAGCTGCGCACTCAATCACTTACTTATCTACATTTCTCTTGTACCCAGATCCTAGACCCAGAAGTTCAACGGGCTACGAAATCCCTCAAGGCGTATGACACTCCGATAGCTTTGGTTGGATGTGGACCAGCAAGTATATCGTGTGCTTCATTCCTGGCCCGACTTGGTCACCGACACGTTCACATATATGAAAAGGAGAACTATGCCGGTGGTTTGAGTGCTTCAGAGATTCCACAATTCCGTCTTCCAATGCCTGTAGTGAGTAGGGAACTCCGATGGATGCAGGATTTGGGAGTGAAGATGTACAACAACCATCAGTTTGGCCAAAATGAGAGAACCGAAACAGGTTCAAGGAAAATATCCATTCAAAGTCTACGAAACTTGGGATATGGTGCCATTTTCTTGGGATTCGGTCTTCCGTGTGCGAAACAGATCCCTGTATTTACAGGGTTGACCAGTGAACAAGGATACTATACTTCAAAACATTTTCTTCCTCGTGTATCAGCTGCAAGTAAGCCAGGAATGTGCGGCTGTTCACTCAGTACGCGTCCAAAATTACCGGATCTTCGAGGAAAGCATGTGCTCGTTTTAGGAGCGGGAGATACAGCCTTTGACTGTGCAACTTCAGCACTGCGTTGTGGGGCTGCTCGCGTGCACATAGTGTTTCGCAAGGGATTTACAACAATCACTCCTGTTCCGGAGGAGATGCAGATGGCCTGGGAGGAAAAGTGTGAGTTCCGTCCGTTTTTGGAGCCTTTACGCGTTGTTTGCGCACCCGATGGTAGTGGAGGGGAGCGTATAGTTGCCATGGAGTTTAATCCAACAGAACAACTGGATGATGGAGCATGGGACCGAAATGTTGATTGCACTGTACGCATCCGAGCCGACATCGTCATTTCGGCTTTTGGAGCAGAACTTTCCGATGAGTCAATACTTCAGGCACTTGGGCCAATAGAACTGGGAAACAATAATCTCCCGAAAGTGGATTTTACTTCGATGCGCACCAGTGCACCCGACGTCTGGTGCGGTGGTGACCTTACCGGTCATTCCCACACTTCTGTTGAAGCGGTGAATGACGGAAAGCTAGCCGCTTGGAATATGCACGTCAGCATCCAGGAGAGATTCTCAGAAAACGATGCATCTATCATAGTTCCAAACAGAAATGAGCCGCAACTACCACTGTTTACCACCCCGATAGATTTAGTCGACATTTCAGTTGAAGTGTGTGGAATTAGATTTCCTAATCCATTTGGTTTGGCTTCAGCCCCGCCGACAACATCCAGTGCTATGATTCGGAGAGCCTTCGAGGCAGGATGGGGCTTCGCAGTCACCAAGACTTTTGGCCTGAACAAGGATCTGATCACCAACGTCTCACCGCGCATTGTTCGAAGTCAAGTGTCGGGACATCTGTACGGACCAGAACAAGCTGCATTTCTCAACATTGAGCTGATCAGTGAGAAGACCAAGGCTTACTGGTGTACATCGATACAGGAATTGAAGCACGATTTCCCTGATCGTGTCATCATTGCCAGCATCATGTGCGGTTATTCGAAAGAAGACTGGGAAGAGCTAGCCGATTTCACCTTGGCGGCTGGACCGGATGCACTCGAGCTTAATCTCTCTTGTCCACATGGAATGGGTGAGCGAGGAATGGGTTTAGCCTGCGGGCAAGATGTGAAAATGGTTCGGGATATTTGCGCTTGGGTGAAGCAACGTGCAGGGAGGGTTCCTGTGTTTGCCAAGTTGACACCTAACGTCACAGAAATAGTCGAGATTGCTAAAGCAGCTCATGAAGGTGGGGCCGATGGAGTCACAGCAACAAACACTGTATCAGGATTGGTGGAGATCCGGGGTGATGGAAAAGCGTGGCCTAAAGTGGGAAATCAGGAAAGAACCACGTATGGTGGACTATCAGGAAATGCAATTCGACCAATCGCGTTACGTGATGTCAGTGCGATAGCACGTGCCATACCGGGATTCCCGATCCTCGCAACCGGTGGTATCGACTCTGCAGAGGCCGGTTTGAGTTTTTTGTATGCTGGTGCTTCGGCGTTGCAGGTTTGTGGTTTTAGACATATTGCCACTGCAGTTTATTCGTTTTTATTTTTTGTCGCTGACTTCTTAAAGCCCACCAGACATGCAATCACCTTTCCTCTCTGGCGTAATCAGCACTGCACGAATCTCAATTTTCCGGTGAAGTGTGTCTTGTGATGTTTCCCACCAAAGCTGACACGTATGCTGGATTATTGAGCCCTGCTTGTCTACTTCACCTAAATTACCAGCCGAACAGTAGTCTGCCTTTCAATCGAGTCGTTAAACAGTGGCCCCGGAATATGAGCTGTGATTCACTGAAAGCTACGCTTCTCATACACACCATGTAGATCAGCAAACGCCCCACGTTGTACGGAATATATATATATATATATATATATATATATATATATATATGTGCACACACACACACACAATAAACACCTA